GCTGACACCTCAGTTTTGTCTACATGGGGGCTAGTGATCTCCTTAACGTCCTACTGCCTGGGACTCAAGTGATCTGCTACAGCTCCATACACGGAAGATGAGAAAATGTTGGTCGGTCACGTGACAAGGGAGGAGAGAGAAATTCTCAGAGCACCGGGAGCATGTCCGCTCCCATGAAGACCTCTTCTGCGGAGCTGCTGTAGCAGGCCTCAGCATTCACCCCGCCACCTCAGCATTCCAGCACAAATAGGGAAGTTTGGGCAGGATGAATACCAGCTGCAGATAGTGTGGACGGAGATCACGTGCCACGCTGTGACCACCAACAGCAGAACGTAGAAGAAAAGGTTGCGAAAAGAACAGTAGTATCAGAGGAAGGGACCAGTCTTAGGAAAAGAACAGAAAAGATGCCATTTCCTAGATGCAAGGTCATTGCAGGGTCTGTGAAAGAGACACTGAGAGCCAGCACTAGACTGAGGGAGCCAGAGGAAGAGAGAGTAGGGTACCACCTTTGTCTTGCAAAACAGAAAGGGTGCATCTCTGTGAAAGAGACTCACTCACTCTACATGATGTCAACTTTCTTAGAGCGACTGTGACTCAGTCTGTAGGATTGTGCCCCACTGTGCTCAGATGATAAATCGAGAAGTCATCGGTCCACGGCTCTTGGAGGTCTACACAAAATAAACTAGTGTCATCCTAACCTCAGATTGGCCTTGACCACTTCAGATACCAGGGAACCAATGCTATATTTCTATGAAACTTTCAGAGACTCGGCTCCTTCTTTGGCCACGAAATCTAATGCCGCTTCCTCCACCTGCCCTTAGCACGGAGTCTCCATTTGGTAGGTATCGGCAGCAAAGGCCGATGGTCTTTCATGAATCTAAATGCTCCATGCTTCACTCTTGAACGTGATAAATGGCCCCACTGAGTGAGTGGTAGGTCTTAGGGCTCCCAGGTCTCTTCTCCATAAGAGAATCCCCACTCACAGCCCTATACACACACACACACACACACAACCCCTCCCAGAGAGGGCATTTCTCTCCCCTGGGTTCAGTGACTAATGTTTGATTCAGATGTACTCTTCGTTTGAGTGTCATTTTTTCCTAACAGCACATCCACCCATTCTTTTTTACTCCCCACGTCAACCTGGGGAGATGATGACTCATCTGCTGTTTGCTATGGCCCAGCTCCTCTCACCTCCTCATTCCTGCCCCCCCCCCCAAGAATGTCTGAGCTGGAATGAGCAATAGAGAAGGAGCCCATCTCAAGAATGATGGAGCTCCAAGCCAAATATATCGTGAAGAAAGACTCGGCCTTGAGGCAGGATGAGGGGAGGGGAAGGGGGTCTATGAGGAGGAATGGTCAATGAGGGGGGAAGTATGAGAAACGTCAAGCCCAAGAGAGCTACCGCAACCTGGCTAAACCCCGAGTCCATGAGGTACTCTGGACCTCCCCGGATCCTTGTTAGGGCCTCACCATGATACCCGCAACTCCCTAGTAGGCTCAGTTCCATGATTCATCAAGTGTATTCCCACGGTGGCTCTGAGGACTAGAACAAAGGGCAGGCCAAAGGGAGGCTGCTTGAGTGCAGCCCTGTAGGATGACTTGGCTCCAGAAATCACACAAAGGTGACTTAGGAGTCACAGTTACAGGAGAGATTTACGGGCTGCCAGGGATCTGGTATGACCTGCCCTACAGAAGCGCTCACGGCCTGAGGGTACACCAGCTCACCAAGCTAAAAGGTGGAGAGGCGTTGCAGCTCACCAGCCTGGCCCTTGCCAGGCTCCTTCACGGAACCAAGCTTGTACTTGGAAATGGAGGGACCAAAGATTTTCTTCAACAGAGGAAATAATTGGGCAGGTTTGAGCTGAATTACATACCAGACCAGTGTTAGGGAAACACACACACACACACACACACACACACACACACACACACACACACACACACCACATAACCATACACTCCAGAGCTGGAAGGAATGTCGGAGATAAGACAACAGACTTAAGACTAATTGGTAGTGACGGGTTTATAAACACAGCTTCTACTTCCGGTTTCTCTTCCTGATCCCCTGGACCCCACCTTCTGCCAGAGAATTAAAAAGGGACATATTGGCCAGGAAACTTCTAACCTGCGGGTAGGAAAAAGAAATGGCAAATACTGTCTTATGGGTCCCAGGCCAGTGCAGGCGACCACTGGCTTGCAGGAAGGTAGGCTGTCTTTATTCCCACTGGACACAAGCAAACCTACCCGTGTCCATATTTTCTCTCAAGTACACCTCCTATTCAGATCCCTTCGCGTCCCCAGCACCAAGCAGCCTGCCTTCATGGTGTCTCCCAAACACGAACAACCACTGAGATGTATACAGAGGGAGGAAACCCAGTGGAGCCCTTCCCATGTGACTAGCTTCCTTCCGGCTACTCCTTCTCGGAAGGGCCTCTCTTGCCTGTTCCTCATCGACTTTCACTATCAGTGGAAATGCTGTGAATGAACTACTGGCATCAGACAGACATCATTTGAATCCAGCACATGTCACCGCTGGCTGCTCCACGCGATCAAGTTAGTTCATCTCTGACTCAGTGTCTCCCTTTACAGATTGAAAAGGATAGTGTCCATCTCTCGGAAGCTTTATGAAAATGACATGAAGTAGCACATAAATGGCACAGAATCTGTAAACATAGAAAGAAGCTCAATAAAGACCCATTCTTCTGTCTGACTGCCTACCCTACATCTATTCTGGGCTCTAACCACAGTGTCAGAATTGATTGTGACTCTCCAAGTCTCACTGTTCTACCTCCCAGACATCACGCCATAGACATTCACCATGTGGATCAGTGCACCCTATGTGTGTCAACTTCCTGGCCAGCCTCATTTCAAAAGTCCCAGGGACTCATAGCTTTCATGTTTCTCTCCAAAATGGCAAGGATCCAAATAAGATCACCCTAAATCACCATTTCTACCTCTGGATCGCTTTATTTACAAGGCCTAATGGAGAAAGGGGAGGGGAGGTGGCCTTGCCTGAATCCTACACTCAATCCCAAACAGCAGCAATGTCCCTAAGAACAGTCAGCAAGACTCTGGACTTGCCTGAGGACCCAGGGAACAGGTTAGTCTCTCTAATAACGTAATAATGTGATTTCTAGGCATGGCTGCAACAGGGTCCCCCACCCTACCCACTCTTCCTGTGAAGTAGATCTTGCATCCTTCATCCAGAGATGACCTGTTCTCTGTGGAGAATGAGCAAGACAAGTTGATACCAAGATAAGAGCAGTAAGAAAGACACTAGCCAGAGGCTAACAGACCCCTGGGATTTTGTTCCTCTCTTTCTTAGTGGTCTTTCACATTCAAGAGGCCAGCAAGAAGGATAAAGTGCTTGACCCTAGGGATATAATGGAATTAGAGGAGGTGGTAGTTTAATCAAGAAAATGGGGACATGGGCAGATGTGCTTGTATTCTACAGTAGGCTTGTGACTACGGCAGCCATGATACTCTGTGACTTCCAAGGTTAAGTCAACCAAGGTGCCATAGCTTCTCCCGAGTTGTCTTTTACGACCTTGACTGTCACAGCATGAGAAGCTCTGGATCTCACAGTCCAAGAAAGCTAAAGGCAGGACAGGTACCAGAGCAGCGTCCCTGAGAGGAGAGGTCGGGCCTTCCCTTGCTCATTCTCACCTCGTGCAGTCTAGCCCCTTCCCTGTTGGCAGTTTGGTCAACCTCCAGGTCACTTGACCACAGTCTCCATGAGAAACAACACTGAATAAGTGAGACGTGAACCACACCCTTGGACAATGCTCCTGTCTTTGCTATCCTTAGTGACAGTTGCCCTGCAGCAGGGAGAATATTGTCCTGATGCCAGGACCTCCCACCTGTACTCCCAAGAATCTGGCTTGCCTAGGAGCTGGTAAGGAAGCGCTACCCTTGGTCTGACCTATGTTCACACCATAGACATCTGTCCCCGAGGAAAGGGGAGAGAGAGTATGGCTCTTCACCGGAGACCAGCTTTTATGTCTCAACAGAACCCTGTGGCATTCCAATTCAGAGAGGCAGAGGCTGAGATGTGACAGAGGCAGAAATGAGCTCACTAGGCCAGCATCTGCTGCTGGGCTATTCTGAGCTCTGCACTGAGAAGAAGACAAGGGGACCCTAGCCTACTCGTGGGACACACACACCACAATAAAGTATGAACTACATGGTGGGTATACTCCTTCTGTCTAAACCACAGCTGAGGAAAAGGAAGCAGAAAGAGATGTGGCTTGCCAAGGACCCACTACTGGAAAAGTACAAACCCAATATTTGTACTCGGCCTGTTGACCTAGAGACCTTCTGGACAGTGTCACAGGAGAGATGGTCAGAGGATGCCTGAGATACCATCTGGATCTGTTCTCACGATGATTGGACTCTTTAGAGCCCACAAGTACTCACCGAAGATGGGGATACCAGGTCCCTCCTTGGAGAGATTTCCAAGGTCTGACATTGGGAAGCCGCTGGACTTTCCTTACTTTGAGACTAGAGGTTTCTGTGGCTACACACTGCCTTCATCGGACTCACAGAATATTTCAAATAAAAGCAGCTGAGAAGAGTTAAGTAATAGGCCAGAAGTGCATGGATGGTTTGTGTCCCACGTGTCCAACATGGTCAGAATCAGAGGGGACTCTGATCCTGTCAGCTCTTCCCAAGAGGGGTCCTTCAAGAGGAGCTCTGTGAACATTTGTTTCCCAATACTGGCTTTGGGGTAAAGCTGAAACCCATTGTCTAAATACATTCATTTGCTGTCTGTGTGGTCCAAGGTCTACTGAGTCCACAGGTGTAGATTGTGGACACACATGTCACCATCACATCTGTCAAGGACACTAGCAGACTCTTCTCCACCACCAGCTTCACCTCAAGTCTGATGTTCCCAGCATATGTTTGCTCTTGGGGCATTAAAAAAGGGACTACATTTCAGAAAGCTCACTTGGATATAATAGCATGCTAAAACAGCAGATAGGGCCTTTATTCTTCAACAAGTACAAACTTTAAAGCACTAGGGTCAGAGTGCTTTAAACAGATGTGCTTTGATAGAGACGATAGGCAAGAAGAGGAAAGTGTGAAGTCTGGGTGTCCTGGAGAAGCAAAAGTGGATGGAAACTGGATTTCTGTGGTAGGGAGGTAGCGAGAGGCTACCAAAGACAAACTCTGTCTCTCACACCTGGGCCTTGCCCTAGTTGGAGTCACCTCTCCTCACCCCAGCTGCAGAGCCACAGGGTGCATGTGCACACTGGTGTAGCTTGGTTCTTCAGTGTTCCCCTAAGGTCCATTGGCTTGGCCCTATTAGAAGCTGGTGGCACCCAGTAGGGGGCATCTTTAAGTCACTAAAGGAGAGCCCTAGATGAGGATGCTGGCGTCTCAGATCTTTTTCCTTCTCTCCCTTGTGTCCCAAGCATGAGGTGAACTGTCTTGTCACCCCCTCCCACCATTGTGCTCTGTCACAGGGTCCATGGGTCACAGATTGAAACTTGTAAAATTATGAGCCAAAGGAACCTTTTCTCTATGTAAGCTGACTGCCTCAGGAGTTCATTACAGTCATGAAAAGCTGACCATCACACACATACAACACACTTAGGCCACCACTGATCCCTCTGCCCCTAGTCAGAGAAGTGGGGAAACACTGAACGATGGGACCCAGCACACCTGCCAGCACTGGGAAATGGAATCTGGAGGCTTCTGCCCAGGGGAAAGGGAATGCTTGGGATCTTATTAGGAACATCAGCCGCAGCATACACATAGTTAACTGGGCGCTTATTGATTCTCTAGAAATGAGTCCCCTTGGACAGAGTGAGTGCTGATGCATCTCACATAGACTTCTCCGCCACAGTGGCTAGCACTGGGGACTTCCTTGAAGAACATGCAGCCTTGGAGACAGGCCAAGTTCAGAGGCTGTTCTGTTTTGGTCCTGGTGCAAAACTTGAAGGCAGTTCCACACCGTCATCCATGCCTCACGTGCAGATGGTGGTGACCCAATGAGATGGCATCCCCACTGTGGGCTTGGTTAGGTGGCTCTTTGCGGGGAGGTCTCCTTCTTCCTCACAATCATTCAACGTTAATTTTCCAGAGTCATATCCTCCCACCCTCTATGAAGAATGAGGAAAGGAAATCCAGCCAGTGTGCCATTATTTTCATGTCTCTGTTTAAGGAAGAAAAACACAAAACAGCAAAACACTGGAGTGCACAGCTCTGACGACGGCATCATGCTGCAGCTCAGGATGAAATTTTCTCCATCCTCCATGGTAAATGTTTAAAGGACACCCTGTTTAAAGGATGGCAGATTGCATCATCTCCAAAGATGCCCTCAAAGATTTGGACTAATAGCCTACCAGCCTCGTCTCTATCAGAACACCAGGATGGCAAAGCTTGAGGTAACTTAGAGAATCATCTCACCCAGAGGACCAAACCGTGATGCTCACGGAAGGCAGATAAAGTAATAAATGACTCAAGCCAGAGGGGGACTCTTGTGACTCAGAGTTTGAAATTCATCCAAGAAATAAAATTCAAACAGCTTAAGACTTTGTGCGGTTGAACTCCAAATCCCTTGGCCTTTCCTCCTAAGTCAAGTGTGTTCATTTCTTCGAGCTTCCATAACAAGTGGCCACAAATCTGGTGGCTGAAAGCAAGGAAAATTTATTCTTTCCTAGTTCTAGAGGTCAAAAGTCCAAGCTCAAAGAAGGCAACTGAGCCATGGCTTCCCTGAAGGTTCAAAGGAAGATGCCTTCCTTGTCTCCTCCAATTTCTGATGGCCTCTATTCTCTGTAGACTACGGCTGTGTGACTTCAGGCTCTGGTGCTGCCCCCACGTTACCTTCTGTCTGAGATGGATGACTGTCAGTCTATGTGGGGTTCACCTGAATAATCTGGAATGATCTCATCTGGTATTGCTCTTGACTATATTTGCAATGGCCCCTCTTTCTGATTAAGGCCACATTAACTGATTAGGACGTCAGCAAACTGCTTTGAGGGTCAGCAGACAAACCAGTCCGCTAGAATGGAGTGAGAAGTGAACACTGGGGCCTGCACGTGGATCTCAGCAGAGTGACTTCCCTCTGTCCGATTTCTCAGGCTGATTCACATCGTTACTTGTTCTTTGCCTTTGTTGGCTAAGATGCACCCTAAGTCTTGGGGATAGGCAGGTGCTATCGGGAACTCTAGCAGCTTTGACCTGTTATAATTCTGACTCACATTCTGGCTTTGTATGGACTTTGTGTGGAGCAGAAACGCATCCTTTATATATATATTTAGTTCTCCCCCATGTCTGGCTATGTTCCCAAAGTCATATCTTCCCTCACAGCATTCCGAGTTCTGCAGATCCTTGGTACCTCCTTCAGGGATTCTCTGACTCATGCTTCTCAAATTTCTGTCTTTATCTGCATCATCCATTGGTAGGCCTTGTTGGAGTAGAAATCGTTGGGCTCCATGTTCAGTTTTGGATACAGTAGACTTGGAGGTAGGGCTAAAAGCTTATGTTTTTTATCTGAGGAAATGATGACACATGGTCCAGAGGCCTAGTAAGCTACCAGTCTGACCCCATTCTTCATGCTCTCTAAGTGGACTGGCCTTATTCTTTTTACCATTCTCCTATCACATCCAGTTCATCTTCCATCCTCCTCTTGCCCTTCTGGGGGCCTCATAATTAATATCCTGCGTGTCAGATATTTACATTGCGATTTGCAACAGTAGAAAAATTGCAGTTTATGCGGTAGCAATGAAATAACTTTCTGGTTGGGGGTCACCACAAGATGGGGAGCTGTATTAAAGGACCTCAGCATCAGGAAGGTTGAGAACGACTGCTCTGGGTGCTTAGCCTCGTCTCAAAACAGCTGGAACCATGCGGACTTAGTTCAGTTTTACACCTAAATATTCCCACCTACCCATTGCATCCCTGGATGCCCATCTAAAACCTTTCCTCCCTTTCTCCACCCTCCTACTTCTCTAAGTCAAAGCCAAGGACACCCAAATCACCAGGCTTACTCCGACACTCTGGGGAAACAGGAAAATCCAGTCCCAAGCTGGGGAATTGGTGGGCACGGTGACAAGCCGGCTCTTAGTTGGATAGTCTCCCTGGATTCCTAAAGTGGGGAGTCTGGGGCTGGCTCCCGTGTGGCCAGGGAAATTACAGGGGGAAACATCCAACCCCATCTCCACCTACCCAACTGCCCATGCTCCTGTCCTCACCAGTCCCATGTGCCCCAGTATACAGCAATGCCCCTCAAGGGTGAGCCTCCAGATGCCAGCCGACCGTCTTCCCAGGACATTGAGCAACACTTGGTGAAGGATTTCCAGCATTCATGTGCTCCCCAGCAGCCTGCAAGACATTTTCTCTAAGGAATTTCAACACACATAACCAGAGCTTTGTTCCACTGTGAATGAGGGCTTGTCTGGGTGCCAGGGTTGCACCACACGGGAGATTAACTAACATGAGCTGAACCTCTTAACAGGCACAGCGCAGTCTCTATGATCTTTCTTAATACTATGCACAAATGTCAAACCACGCTAGAAAAAAAACAAAACCAAACCGTGGGAGGGGGGTGCCGGGCCCATTCACAGACCTAATTAATGGAGACGATCTGACCTTAGAGATCCTCTTAATGTCAAGTACCCGTTGTCAATTTTGCTGAAGAGGATCTGAGCGAAGGGTGGCAAAGGGCTGTCGTCACCGCTCTGCTAATGGTGTGTTGATACTCAGGAGTTCCTCACACATTTCCCTCATGCCCTCAGACGTGGAAACTGTTTAAATAAGATGTCAAGTATCTGCGGTAATAGTTCACATAAAGCTCATGTGTCCCGGGAGAACAATTGACTTCTATATGAATGGCTTGGGAAGCCAACTGGTAAGAAAGGGTTAAGCTAGTTCTGAGGTCACTGCCCACAAGGACCCAGTTGAGGCTGGGATAGAGGGCTTCCTCATGCCACAGGGCTGCCCCACATGTTGCCCTGTGGTCCTAGACAGTTTTAATAAGATGTCTGTATTTGTTTTCTAGGGCTGCCATAAGAAAGAACTGTGGGCCTTAGTGGTATAAACGACAACAAAAGAACTCCTCAGTGTTCTAGAAATGAAAAGTCAAAAGTGAAGATACAGCCAGGATTGATCTCTCCCGAGGCCTCTCTCCACGGCTTAATGATGGCCTCCTTCCCTTCATCTCCCCATGGTCTTCCTTGTGGATATCTGTGCTCTGTTCCTCTCTTCTCCTGGGGTATTGCTTACACTGGACCAACTCTATAAACTTACTTCAGTGAGATTGCCTTTAGAAAGATACTAGGTCCAAACACACTGCATTGTGAGTACCAAGAGTTAGGGCTTCAGCATACAAATTGGGGATCCAATTCTGCACATAGCAATATTTATGTAATCCATTTACCACATCTCTCTGATTGGAAGACACACATTAATTCAGATTTTTCTTTTAATGTTTGTGGAATCAGGTCCCATCTGACAAAAATCTATAGTGTTCAAAATTTGATCTTCAGGCATTTTTGCTAGCATTCCACAAAGTAACGAATAACATTTGAGATTTAATAAATTAGAACAATCTTCACACTTCCTCTACACTACATTAGATAATAATATCCTGATTCCCATTTTATAAATTAGAAAGCTGAGGTAGACAGTCTGGGAAGATAGAGAATCACGTTTTACCACTATGTTGTTATAAATGTTATCAATTACTATTGCTTATTGGGTGAACTCACAAGGGACATGTATGTGCCTGAAGAACACAGGCCCTAAGCATGTACCCTGCAGTAGTGTGTGACCCTAATGCTTCCCCCATTATGGGCACATATTTTCAGTCTAACAAAATATAATAAAAGCTTACCCATTTCTCCTCTCACTGCGCAAATGATTCCCAATTGTCTACCAAATATAAGCTTGGAAGGACAAATAGTCCCCTCATTTGAATGACTTTTTGCCAAGGACAGGAAGAATACAGGTAGCAGATAAGTACATACCAAGGTGTGGAACGTTTGTGTGACAATTGTTACTGGGGTGATATCAGGGAGGAGATGAGATTTGAAAAGGTGGACATTGTTTCTGGCTGGGTGATATGGAAGTTAGTGTCTAAGAGGTGGAGGCATTGAGCTGGACTTGAACGTGAGTGTCTGAGCCCGTTTGCTGTTGCTGTGACTAAATACCCAAGACTAGTCCATTTACAAAAGGTAGTTATATACCTAACTATGCTGATTGCAAACCCCAGCTGGAAGGGCCGCCTCCTTTTCTCCCTGGCCCCTGCAGCCCCGAATGCACACCATATCCCTCTCCCATCCGCAAACGACTTACAGCAGCATCAGCTTTTACTCCGTGAACACCCTCCTTCCTTCCATCCAGTCTCTAAGTTCCTGAAATCCTTTCCCAGCTCCGCTTCCCCCAGCACCAGCCCCGTGTGTGTCCTGGAGTTTAGCCAGGGATTTATTGTAACCTAAGCGAAGGAGTTCTGTGACTTTATATAGCCAGGTCAGTGTTGGAGTGAATCACTTCCGTCCACCACCACAGCCGAACAGAAAGAATTGCTTGAAGGATCCACAAGCGCACGGGGGAAGGAATCATTCCTCAGCAGTTTCCAACCTACGTGTCCGGATCAAAAACGGGTTATTTGCCAGCTCAGAGCTGCCGCCTGGAAGGGGTCCGAACCACGTGCACAGGAAGAGGCAACGTGGCTGCAGCCTGTTGCTCCTTCACTAGCCCCCACGAGCCAGCCGATCTGTACCTGCTGTGCAGACACTATCATGATAGCGACGACTCCACTGCATAAGAGGACAGCGTGGAGGATGTGAGCATCAGAGAATGCTCTAAATGCAGACCCATAATCCTACCGATGATAGCATGGTGCTCTGTACCCACTGGGCATGTGGCAACAATCACGTAAGTGCCTACAGCGTCCTAAGACTCAGTGATGACTCGGTTTGGTGTTTGCAATGAATATAAAGGAAGAGCGTGAAGCCTGCCCCTTACTACTAATCCTGCAATTAAATTCATCCCACTTCAGGAATCACATAAGCTTTTCTACTTACAGACATTATTCCTCACGACTTCATGTCACTCTGTTCACTACCAAGAGATGACAGTGATGACCACATAAGGTTACTCTGTTCCCTGCAACTGGCTCAGGCCACTGTGACTCCATTGGCTGGTTTCATTCATTGAACAATGATTCACTAAATACTCACTTTATGCCAAACCCTATTCTAGGAGCATGGACAACAATAATCCAAATAAAATCCCTGCCATTGTGGGGGTTCTTGACTCTCTAGTCAAGGTTGAAAGTAGAAACGGGAAGACAAAGAATAACTGATCTGATAACTAACTATATAAAAATATTCAAAGGAGATAAGGACTATGGAAAAAATAGGCAAGAAAGGAGTTAGTGTGGATTGGAGTGCATATAATTTTAAGTAATGTGGTAGAAGCAGGCACCATGGGAGGTTATTTGAATAAAGACTTAACATCCTGTGGCCCGAGCCAGTGGAGAGTTGAAGTTGCAGCCAACGGAAGTCAGGCTACCTGAAGAGCACTGACTTAGAGGGGAAGGTTGGGGGCTCCAGCTGGGAACGTGCTTGGGGTCTGGAGTCCTAGGGTGAGATCTGGGATAGAATTAAACATTTGGGAGCCTTCAATGTAGAGATGGTATTTAAAGCTTTGGTATCAGTGACGTCACCAAGGGAGGAAAGAAAAAAACGTTTTAAAGCAACCAGAAGGAAGCCAGTAGAGAGAAGGAAACACCTGCAAGAGAGAGGAGGCTGGAAAGAACTGACTGGGACAGAGACAGAAAGACAAGAAGAGCTAGTGTGTCTGGAGCTAATGGAGGAGATCGTCCTGGGGCAGGGAGTGGTTTGTCTAAGTGATGTTGACAAGTTCAACTAAGATGAGAAGTAGCAGGGTCCTCTTATCAGATGTAGTGATGTGGCGTCAGCAAGGTCCCTGTGCAGTGGGTACCGGGCACGGAAGCCTGTTTATAAAGTTCCAGAGAATGGAATTGACAGAGAATGGGTGCAGGGAATACAATCAATGCTTTCAAGAAATTCTCTTGCATGGGGCCTAACAGCCAGAGCAATAGCTGCTAGGGAAAGTGGAGGAACTTTTAAAGTGGAGAATGTTTATATGAAAGGGATAAGTTCTGGAACCATGGCCTCTAAAAAGAAAGAGGGGGTGGGGGTTTACATTTGGTCAATAAGCCAAAGGAGTGACGTAGAGGGCATCAGAGTCTGCCGGTGGCTGGGGAGGCGAAGGGAGCGTTTGGGGGACACAAGGGCAGACGTAGGAAGAGGGTAGAGACGAAAGGGTAGGCATACGACTGCAACCGTGCTCTTCTGCCTCCTCAGGGAGTCTCTGGTGGTAAGAAACAAGTTCCTCAGCTGAGACAAAGAGACAGGAACATCAGAAGAAAGAAGAAGCGGGCAACTGATTGGTTAGGATTGTGGGCGCGCCTGGGAGTGTGGGCGTGCCTAGGAGTGTGGGCGTGCCTGGGAGAAGTGTGGGCATGCCTGGGAGAAGTGTGGGCGTGCCTGGGAGAAGTGTGGGCATGCCTGGGAGAAGTGTGGGCGTGCCTGGGAGGAGTGTGGGCGTGCCTGGGAGGAGTGTGGGCGTGCCTGGGAGTGTGGGAGTGGCTAGGGTGTGCTATATCCTGTTCTGGTGATGGCGACGAAGATCCAGATGAGGATTTTTAGGAGACTTTAAAGGGAACCTAGTGAATGTCTCTGAGTGCTTGTGGGAAAAGCAGGCAGCTCTCCTGAGGGCATGGCTTCGTTGATCAAAGACTATGCCCAAGAGATCCCAGGGGAGCCAAAGGCTTTTTACCAAAAAGTAATCATAAAGGTCAGCCATGGGGTGTTTTTGTGTGCGTGTGTTAATTTTATTGTATTTTTACTATTTATTTAGTGGTGGGAGGCACACTTGTAGAAGCCAGAGGACAACTTGAAGATAGTTCTCTGCTTCCACTGTGTGGGTTCTGGGGGTCCACTCAGATGGTCAGGCTTATTGGCAAGTGCCTTCGCTCATGAAACCATCTGGCCCACCCAACGTGGAGGGAAACGGGACACAGAGAGGTGGGAACAGTGAATAAGTGGCAGAATAAAGCGATGGGCGGTTCTGGAAGGCCATGAACTCCTGGATTCAGGCTCCTAGAGTGAGGGAAGGGGAAAAAATGGAAGCGGCGATCTGAAGTTTTGAAACTCAAAATGTAGAGGAATCCTGGTGTGGTGTCGTCACACACCTGTAACGCCAGTGTTAGAGAGGCTGAGGCCGAAGAGTGGATTTGAAGCCGGCCTGACCTGCACAGTCAGAATAAAAGGGAGGAAGAGAATGGAGGGGAA